GGGACTACTTAATTGGGCCACATTTCTTTCCACAAAGACTCAATGGTGAAGTTTACTTGGATTTTTTAAGAAACCACTTACCTATTCTATTGGAAGATGTACCACTCGGATTAAGAAATGCAATGTAGCTGCTTTAAGATGGCGCGCCACCGCATTTTAGTTTAGCGGCCAGAGCTTTTCCTGAAAGGTGGATAGGACGCGGTGGTTTTGTACAGTGGGCCCCTAGATCCCCTGACTTAAACCCAATCGATTTCTTTTTTTGGGGCTATCTGAAGACACTTGTATACAGGACACCTGTGAATAGCGTCGATGAACTGAGAGAAAGAATTGTTGCTAATTGTGAGGTAATTAAGCAAAAGGAAGGAATATTCCATTGAGTTTGTCGGAATTTTTCAAGAATTAATTTATGCATTGAAGAGGAAGGACGTCACTTTGAACCTTTGATTTCAATGTTTAATTTGTATTTATGTATTTATTATGTATTTTAACCTTATGATTTTGTTAGTAAACCATTTTTCATTTGTTGAGGACGTTATTTTTTTATTATTTATCACCATCAGCGTAACAACAAATTTTCACAAAAATTACTATCTGTCAAAACTAATTTTCCACAAACTTGTTTCCAAGGCAACTAAGCGCTTGTTTCCAAAGCATGATATATTTAATGTAGAAAATAAATCAAAATGATTTCGTATTCATCGCATGCAAGCAATGTTATTTTAGAGTTTTTCTCGAAAACGGTTAGATTTATGGAAACAAATAAAGTATACCTTTTTTATGTTAAAAGGTTTGGAGAACAAAAATATTCAGTCAAAAGTCGCATAAAGTGTAGCACAAAAAAGTTGGAACCATTCAAATCAAAATAAAGGCTCGTATGTGGCGCCCTCTACAAAATGCGAAAAAACGGTGGGCAAATTTAAAATCCTCATCCCGAAAAACCCCCATATAGGAAATTTCGTCAAAATATTTTGAGTGTGGCAAAAGATATTGCAAAAAAAACTGCAAATAAAATTTAACTTTAACACCCTGTAACTCCGTTAATAATCAGTTTTGGAAAAAATTTTATAGAAAGAGGCAGCATTTATTTTCAGTCTAGAATTATCCCCTGAATTTTTTGCTCATCATTTCCGGACACCCTGTATAACTCCTCATAAATATTCTTATAACATTTACTTGCTTAGTCCTACATATAAAATTGGTTAATTTTATTTATAAATACGTGAAAATAATTCTTAAAATGTGGGGTTAGAATAACAGCAAACGCATGTTTTACAAACGTTTTTTTTACTTATTATTTTATTTGAGTAAATTTAAATGGTAACAATGAATAAACAAAACATCAAGGATTTTATTTTTGTGCTTACTTTTGTTCTACACGTTTTACTTTTAAAGATTTCAGTACCTAAAAACGCCAGAAATTTCACTATTTCTCGGCCAGGAATATGGCCACCTTAACTGTTTCGTTATGACTATTTACTATTTATTTGTTCTGCATAAGCACTATTTAAACAAGAAGCAATATTTACTCTTCCTAAAAGTAAAAAACTCACCAACTTATTTTTGTGTTTAGGAGAATTTTCATGTTTCTTAATTTTAATTTCTAAATGTTTCAAGTCAGAAACTCCAGTTTTCGTCCAGTTTTCTTCGCCTCCTCCAAACAATAAACATACAAAACAAAAAAATCTATTTGTTTGGTCACAACCACACAACCACAGGGTCTTATCATAAATGTTTTTATCAAATTTGCGAATAAAAGCCGGCCTACTTTTGCACTCTTTCTGTACCTGAACTAAATTCAACACTGGCGTTGGACGTCCGTTATTTTTCAATTCGACTTTTTCCTCTAAACTTAAATTACTAATAACAAGTTTTTTTATTTCACAAACCCTCATTTTAAACTTAAACTTATAAAATATAATGTCTTAAAAAACGCCAAAGCAAAAACAAAACACGTATAACAACACTGCAGTGATACGGGATATTGCCACATTGAGTCCCAAAATAAAGCGCACGAGCCTATCGTCGCCTACCCCTCCACGTGCCAATTTGTCCAATCATATGTAAAAATATGCTTGCACGGTGGACTACGATTTCACCGACCGCGTTGGACTAGGGATTGCGCGCGCGGTTAAACATAAGTTTTTGGTACGATCATAGATGACAGATGGCATTAATCTGAGCTACGTTCACGGAGTACATGCACTTTATGCAACCAACCTAACATCCAAGAGATATAGAATGCATGCTATTTAGCATATTTCTTATTGCTTTAAATAAATTCATTATTTTAAGTTTATAGTTTGAAAATATCTGAGGGGGCGGAGTCCCAGAGTCCTCCTTCAGGAGCCGCCACTGTGTCATAGATCCTACAGGTGATAAGATTACATTTTACCAGTAGGTGTAAAGTAATGCTTTATGCCAGTAAGTGTAAAGTATGAGATGAAGATATGACATATACTTTGTAGGTTATATCTCACTCACAAATAAGCAAATTTTGACAAGTTTTGTATGTTTCAACAGATGTTCAATTGTTACACACATTTTCTTTTTGAATGAGAAGATTAAACGGTAGATACAAGGGGCTTACTGTTTTGCTTGCTTATATGGACCATCAAAAACAAAACCTTACAATTTTCAAAAGTGCCTTTTATCCAAAATGTCCCAATTACAATATATCCCATGACCTTATTACCTTTCCTCTCCTTGTTCCAGATGTTTTCACTTTTCTGGCATGCATTCGTGGAAACTGGTATCGTGGCTATCGTATTATTTATTTTAGATATAACAATTAATTCAGAACAATATGGATACCAAAATTATATTTTTTCTTCATACTAATGATATATCCTTATTGTAGTGCTGTCTTATATTAAATGAATTACAGACACTAACAGTAATGTTTGCATGTTTCATTTCTTTATAAATGCATACTATGTCTATTATTTAATTGTAAAGGAGGAAAGGCAAAAAATGTTGGAAGAAATAGCATCGAATCGTGCAGAGAGACATAACCGAAGAAGACAACAGAGGAAATTGCAAACCGAACAATTTGTAAAGAGTATGCAGATGTTACAAGCGAATTCCCGTGATTCCGAACCATTCGAGGATTATTCTATATTTTTATATCGTCAAACTGCACCTAAATTCGAGGATAGGGTGAAAGATTTAGAAAAGCAATTTACGTATATACCTGTAAGCCGTGTGGTGTTGTAGTTCTCTTAACGTTGCCGTGGTTGTTGCTTTTACTAACACTTAAGTAATGTAATCAACTGTAGCGATATTTTTTTAGTATAGAGTTACTTAATTATGGAAATAAGCATAAGCATGCAAACATCTTTATGGAATCATTGTAAAAGAGGCTAAACAGAACCGTTTCTGTATAAAAAATAATTGTTTAAATCGTGGCCGATCATGCAAGAGGTGTTTCATCCGTTTTGGCCCATATTAGATAAATTTTAACTTCACGCGATTTAAGCTGCATTGCGTGATTTTGAAGATTTTAGATTTGTTTTCTATTGAATTTAAGGTGCTTGGTTCTGAATTTCTCAATGGATTTAATACACAGTTTGCTCGAGTGTTACTTCATGTTTGATTTTAAGCTTCTTTGAGTTTGGAAGCTTTAGGATATATTACATATGGAATTTCAAAAAAGATGGTTTGATTGGCCAAAAGATTTAAGTCGCACCTAAAATATATGAACGATTAGCCGACCTACATTCAAAATATAGTCCAACCAAATTACCTTTGGAGAAAAAAGAAAATTGTTACCTGGACTTTGGTAAAGGGGCTTATAAATAAACGTAAAAAAATAAATGCGTGAGCAGGGGCATCGGAGGGTTGATTTGGGGGATTGAAAAGTTGTGTAAAATTGTATCATTGGGATTTCTGGCGAAAGTTGACGTCAAACAAAAGTGTAAAAATGCAAAATGCAAAAATCTGCAACTTTTGTAGAGGTCACTTTTTATGACAACCTTAAAATTTCCGAGAAAAATGTGAAAAACAGGTTTTTTCTGATTTTTTGTTTTTTATTTCTCATTTCCGGAAAAATAATTTAATTTTGATGAAACTTAGTAAAAGTATACCTTTCTATGTCTTAAATAACCACAAATTTTGTTGGATCAAAAAATCAAGAAGTTTCCGAGATATTTATTTTTTCCGCTCTGAAACACTTTTTTTTTCAAAGAAAAATTCTACTTAAAAAAATCATCGTACAGAATTCTACCGGTAATAATTTTTTTCGTTTTGACATACTTTTTGGTGAATTAATAAAATCTGTAATCGCAGTTCAAAAACATGCTCAAAAATGCAAAAAAGTAAAAAATAACTTGCAGCAATGAATTTTTCAGTAATTGTTGATAATTTGTTTAAATTTAAAAAAATTCAAAAACTTATTACTATTGTAATCGCTTAAAAAGGTTTTTAGCTATCATTAAAAATTTCGATCCTAATCGATCCTACGGAAGAAAATGATTATTTATTTTATTTATTCACTATTCGACTTAGATGTTCATAGCAATTCTGTACAAAAATAAACAATTACTGAAAAATTCATTGATGCAAGTAATTTTTTATTTTTTTTGCATTTTTGAGCATTTTTTTGAACTGCGATTACAGATTTTTTTATTTCTCCAAAAAGTATATGTCAAAACGAAAAAAATGATCACCGGCAGAACTCTGTACGATGATTTTTCTAAGGAGAATGTTTCTTTGAAAAAAATGTGTTTCAGACCGGAAAAAATGAATAACTCGGAAACTTCTCGATTTTTTTATATAAAAAATTTGTGGTTATTTAAGACACAGAAAGGTATACTTTCACCAAGTTTCGTCAAAATTAAATTATTTTTCCGGAAATGAAAAATAAAAAACGAAAAATAAGAAGAAATCCTGTTTTTCGCATTTTTCTCGGAAATTTTAAGGTTGTCATAAAAAGTGACCTCTACAAAGGTTGTAGATTTTTGCATGATCTACAACTTTTGTATTAGATACTTTTTTGTTTGACATCAACTTTTGCCAGAAATACCAATGATACAATTTTTCACAACTTCCCAAATCAACCCTCTGCAGCCCCTGTTCACGCATTTTTTTTTACAGCTATGATAAACCCCTTCCTATCTAATTCTGAAATAACGACTTTAATGAATATTATATACCTACAGGATGATTCACAAACTGTGACCAAAAATGAAACCTTGTATTTGGTGAATTTTAAGGGGAATCTTTCCTATAAAGTTTTATTTAGGAAGATACAGGGTGTTAAACTTAAAAAAATTATTTTAAAATTTATTTAAATAACTAATAACTAGTAAGTGAAATAATTTGAAATTGGGACATAAACACGTATGTAAACATTGTTCAAAATCTGAGGCCTTTTCCTAAGATTTAGATGCTCCAGTAGAGGAGATACAGGGTATCGGTGGCATATTTTTCTAAATAAAATAGTACGCCACTGCTTTACAGTAACAATCATGATACTTTCGGCTTTGTCTTTCAATTTTCTACAAATTACTATTCTTTTATGTTTTCGAAAAAAACCTGATATTTAAGTAAAAATTAAAAAACAAACTGAAAACACTTTTACTTAAACGACATGAAAAACATTAATCATTCAGTTATTTAATCAAATAAAGAAATTAATAACATTAGTCATTATTTTAATGATTTTATTTGAGTGAATGCTCAAAAATAGTTCCATTTCCACGAACACAGGCGCGACATCTTTTTAGTAACGAAAATGTAATTTGTTCAAAATTTATTGTTGCTTGAATCTAATGAAAAGCATTATTTATTATTTCTTCTAACTGCTCAGGTGTATTAATTTGTTCACTGTATTGGCTACGCCTCCGTTTCCTACTAGATTTTTGTTGCACGATTCTTTCGAAGCCGCGGCTAGTGAGATTCCTGGAAAGGCATAGAACTTCGTGTTGCTTTTTTTTTGTAAAAAAAAATCACAGAAACTTTTGAAAATGGTTTGATACTAAAATAATAGTCTGATTTATGGTTTTACCGTGGTCCGAAAGTCAGTAGTCGATTCATATTTCATATGTGTCTGTCACTATCTAAATGACAGCGATGTCGCCGTTTTTTTCGCTGTCTGCGATGATTTTGTAGGGTCCCCTGCACAGAGCGATTTGTGCTTATTTTACATTAATTTTAATTGAAAATCTCTGATTCGGTGACAGTATACCAGTCTTTTAACAGCACCCAATAAAAAGAAATCTAGTGGGTTAAGATCTGGTGATCTTGCAGCCAAGTGTAGATGTAACGGTTAGTTATTGTTCATTGTAAACGAATCATTGATATTGATGACGCTAAGATTTATAGGAATTTTTAGTTGAGACGTACAATGTTGGTTGCCTAAGCTCGGCGGTCACGTGGGTTGTAAACATTTATGAAGGCTCTGTATTAACAAAAATTTATTATACAGGGTGTTTGTAAGTAAGTGCGAAATATTTTCTGGGATGGTTGCCGAAATTATTCTTTGAAAAAAGTTTATATAAACGTAGGTCGCAATATGCTTCGTTTCTGAGATACAGTGTTTAAATTTTTAATTTTTTATTTATTTTTATTAATTATTTCAAAGAATTTGAAGCTGTTTTACATTGGCAATTTATTCATGAATAAATTGACAAAGTTCTTCATGAATTAATTCATGAATTTATTGGTAAACAGTGTGGTTTTACACTGCTACAGACTGTCAAGTTTTTTGACGTATGAATCGGTTCTACCAATGAATCAAAGAAGCAAATAAATTTCAAAAATGTCACTTTTGCACTCATAATTGTAGTGATACAAGAGCGATACCGTTCTGATACATATTATATAAATATTAGTTTTTGTAAGTAACAAATCAGTAAAAACAATGCAAAACTAGTACGACGCCACACAATTATTTACATATTCCAATAACATAACCTCATTACTGATCTGAGGCTGGAAATCTGTTGGGTTGGTACTTCCGAACTTCACGAAGAAATTGACGAAAATTAGAACATGCTCTAATTCGTCAAGAACTTGATGAATAAATTCATGAAGTTATTTGACAGCAGATTTGGTGCATTACACTTGTCCAATTTCTTGATGAAACGACTTCATGAATTAATTGATCAATAAATTGTCAATGTAAAACAGCCATTAGAGATATTGACTTGAAATTTGAGGGTTGCATTTTATTTAGAAATATTGACAGCAACCTACTAGATATTGTATCAATAGAAATTAAAAATACAAAATATGTTTTATTTTTCTTTCCTCAAAAACGGTGCATCCTACGAAAAAAATAGTAGACCAATTTCATTCAGAATAGATGGCAGATTTCTAAAAAAATAACAAAATGGGAAAAAGTCAGTGGCGTACCATTTTTTTTTTTTTTTAAAGTTGTGACATTCTCGCACGAGCGTTACTGGTGCAAGTAGAAATATTCGGATCACCCTAAAAAATGCACATTTATCCTTCCAAAACGATTTTCAAATTTCGAGTCAATATCTTTAAAACTCTGAAATAATTAATACAAATAAATAAAATATTAAAATTTAAACACTCTGTATCTCGGAAACGAAGCATATTTCGACGTTTATATGAACTTTTTTTCACAAAATAACTTCGGAACCACCACCTAAAATATTTCGCACTTATTTAAAAACACCCTGTATAGGTTTGAAATAATTGTGAGATAATAGTATATTATTCAACGAGCGTATAATGATGGGTATTATTCACGAGGTGAAGTTTACGGCCACGAGCCGCATGCGAGTGGCCTAAATCACCGAGTGAATAATACCCATTATACGGGAGTAGAATACTATACTTTATCCACGACTACTAAATATTTTTGTTGAAGTTTTTTTTGAAATGTTTCGAAAAACATGGTATGTTAAGAAACAGATATACGACTCGCACAAATGAAGTCGCTGATGGCTCAGTGTAGATGCTCTTTCCCTTCCAACCGCGGGTCCCGGGTTCGAATCCGGTCTAGGAAAATTCACTTTTTTAATTTTTTTTTTAAATGTACAGCACTGAATTGAAAATATTTAGTGGTTTACACGATAAAATTTTAAAAACGGATTGTTTGTAGCAGAACAATATAATATTATAGCTAAATTAAGGAAGCATCTGACAGTAGTGATTAATGACTCATTAATCACTGCCGTGATTAATGGGTATTATTAAGGTCGAGCAAACAGACGTATAATGGGTACATTATACAATAGTCGTGGATAAA